AAGATAGTATAGTAGTGTTTGTGAGAGTATGATAGTACACGTAAGATATTATAGTAGTGTTTGAGAGAGAGTATGATGGTACATGTAAGATAGTAGTGTTTGAGAGAGAGTATGATGGTACATGTAAGATAGTAGTGTTTGAGAGAGAGTATGATGGTACATGTAAGATAGTATGATGGTACATGTGAGAGAGTATAGTAGTGTTATCTCGTAGGGTAGTAATGAAAGATTATTGTATATGTGTATATGAAATGTTCATTTTGAGCAGTTCAAACAGAATTAAAGATATTGTTTTGCGGATTTATAATGATTCCTAAATAAAAATTCTTACTCGTCACAGTGAAAGTATGACTAGTCAAAATGGCATTGCTGATAGCTGATAAGTTAATTGTTGTTAACACATTTAACACACACTAAATATTAAAACTGAATTGATGTCTGTATTTACATTAAACTTGGCGATGCAATTTTGTTTAGAATATAACCGCTGTGAAAATAACATTTAGTATCTTTGTTTCACTGATTTGTGTTTGTTTTTAGTGCTCCCTCTTTTTATTCAGCCTCTCGCTCTCTCTTGCAACAGTTGTGAAAATGTGTCAAAAAACTTGAAGAAAACCCTTGTTTTTCAGAAGAAATAAATATATTATTGTTTTTATAGATTGGGGATATTGCAGCTGTCTCTTAATTTAATTCTAAATAATCCTGCAGTTTTGGATGAATAAAATACGTACAGGCGATAAAAAGTTCCCTCACATTCTGACATTGTAAAGCAATTATTTATTTTGCCTCCACCTTTAAATCTGATGCCTTTTTTATTTCAGACACTGTCCTCTCTCTGGTATTCACTCTCACTCACTGTTTTAACAGTAGCAGCAACACGTTACCACTCATTTTCTTTTAATAATGGTATCACTGCTTTGGCCACCAAACATATACCGGTGTCAGAAAGTTGTGCTTCTTTTCATCCCTTGATGCTGATTCACCATGGAAACCCACTGGACAGCAGGAGAATTTAAAATTCATGAGGTGTTTTGCATTGACCATTTATGCTTGAATATGGGAGAGTAAAGGGTGGAATCTGAGGCAGATACACATATGCACATTTCTAGGTGGAGTGTGGTGTATAAAGGGAACACTGCCTTCAAGTGTGCATGCACACGGTTATATAAATCGGAATATTTTTGTGCATATTCCATTTTCTGCCTTTGTGTGCGAGCACACTTTTCATATGAATCCTATTTTTTGAATGAGGCCCCAGGAGAGGAAACACTATGGCCATGATCCCCAAAACTGTGAGCTGACTACAGTACCTTCCCCAGTACTGCCTTGAATAAGGTTTTTCATGTATTCACAGGCAGCACTAGTAGGACATTATTTGTATTTGAGAAAAAATTCAATAATTCAGCAGATTTCTTGTCAGTTGTCAAGTAGCACAGCTGACATTTGTCAAGTAGCACAACGGACATTTGTCAGGTGGTACAACCAGGTAAAACAT